TTTTTTCTCAGGATTTTGTGAGGTCTCCATCCCTTCTTCTCCCCTCCCCCACACCAAAACTGTTATCTGAGAACTTTCTTTGTTCTGATATCTTTGCCCATTTGACTCTTTTCTCGCACCCAGGCATCTGTAAGAGTAGTATTTTTTTTAAATCTTTGATTTCTTTGCGTTCCTCCTATATAGTTTCAATCAAGATCTTTTGTGACAAATCAGCTTCAAAACACCTTCTTGGTCTCTGCTCATTTTTGGGTATAATGTAAAGATAGCCAGATTCTTATCACTAATTGTTACATTCTTTTTTCCTTTTTTTATCTTTCTGACATTATTATCCATGAGTTCATCTTACAGTTTTGCTGTAAAACTCTTTCCCCCTTTTTGTCTGAATTGACACAAGTGTTTTTCTAAGACCTGTCTTTATCTTTAAAAGTTCACCAAATAGTGGCCAAATTAAATTCAGTCTATAATTGGAACTACTTCAAACGCTCCTTCTCATGTCCAAGCTCATTTTTAATCCTGAATTGCTTGTATGTACTGTTCCAGTTTGTGATGCTGTTTGTCAATTTCCCTTCTTAGTAGTAGTCCACCTTCTTATTTACCTGAAGGACTTTATTTCCAACAAAGAAAAAGAATATACTGCTATTAATTAGTACATACTTATGGTAAAGTCTGATTTTATTTAGATATATCTTGTTTTGTGATTCATCTGTAATGTCTACTTCACTTATATATGTCAAATTTCTAAACATTGTTCTAAGACTCTTGAGTATTGAGAGATCCCAGAGTGTTTCTACCCCAAATTTTGTGAACTGTGGAATTCCGTGTTTATATTTGTTTTCAACTTTACAGTAAATTGAAATGAGAAATGATAGGAACTCTCTGGTATCTCTGTATTCTTTGAGAAATTATCAGATTTTGTTGAATTGGAGGGTTGAACTGGATTTTCTTGAACTTGGAGGGTCTTCACACATCCTTCTGGACAGATCTAAAGTTACCACTGTTGAGACATGAGCAAACATTCCTCACGTGATAGAGAAAGCAACAAAGCAGCAACCCCTATGGAAACAACCATAATTTAAAAGAACCAAAGAACCACATAGGGAAAGCAGAAAAGTACTGTTCCTTGGTAAAGAATTGAACAGAAACTCACCAGCTTCTGCTTCAGACTTGTCACTTGGGCACATCTGGTTTTATTGCTATGGTCCAGGACATAATCCCAGCCCTAGAGAAGCTGTGGTAATGAGTCAGTGAATTGGAGATTCATTTCAGAGGAGCTTTCTCCTCTTCTACAAGCACCCACCAGTGCTATAGGGACTTGTCATATGAATACTCCCTAATTGAATTCACTTTTATACTTCAGATAAATGGTTGAAATTCTAGATTAGATTAGTTACAACTCCTTAGTTGGGCATAAGACTCTTTAATTTTTAATTTTAATTTTTAATTTTAAGGTATAAAATTCCATGATGAGGTTGGGGTAGGTATAGCTCAGTGCTAAAGTACCTGCTTAGCATGTACAAGGCCCAGGTTCAATCCCCATCACTAGTAAAAAATAAAATAGGCACATGAGCCAAATTAAACCTCCCCCTTAAAACTAAATAGATAAATGTTCCATAATAAACATATGGAGCCAATTTATAATGATAACTAATGTTTATAAAGCACTTTAAATTTTGTAAAATGATTTTTGAGATTAATATTATCTTGTTTTGGTATTTAAAACAATCTTGCGATTTAGAGTGCTTCACTAGTAAAGCACGAAGATCGTCATGAGTTTGAGGCCAGTCTGGGCTACGTAGTGAGTTCAAGGACAGCTGGAAATAGATAGCGAGACTCAGTCTCCAAAAAAAAAATAGAGTGGTTTCCTAATTCAGGCATGTTTACTTACTTTGATCCTGTAAGCTGTTGCATGTCCAGGAGTCAAACCCAGGAGGATGCCTTTCTTCGTTTTCCATATAATTTACAACATATGCTCAACTCTGCATTTCATTTTGTTTTAGATTTAGAAACATAGGTATATTGGTCTCTGTTGAAATAGATAAGCTAGTTCTCTCTGGACATTATCTTGTTCTTCTCTAGCTACCCAGGTGCATAATGAGACTTTCAAAACAATATTTTACTGGCAATATTGGAGATAATGTTTGCAGATTTCATATGATTTCTGTTGTTAGGCCAATTTTAACATACATTACTTTTGTACATCTCTAATAGGTTGCTACTTCTTGTACATAGTTGACAGCATCATTTTTCTAGTCTTAAACTTGTTTACTTTGCATCATTGGGTCATGTTTTTTCAGTACCCTCATCCTCTTACTACTCCTACTACTGTTTTTAAATGAAAAGGATTCGAAAGTTGATGATGATCAAGTCATAGAGATCTGTATCTCAAGGATACGACTTTAGTCTCTTTAAGTATAGAATAGTGTTAAGAAGAGCTCTGCTCTGTGAACAGGGAATTCAAAGAGACTTTTAGAAATAAAAAGTGAAAACCTTCCTGAATGACATTTTATTCCGATCTCATTAAATCCTAAGAATAGGCTGCTGGCCTCCATTACTTTCAGGAAATGAAAAATGGCTCAGAAGCTAAGTGAGCTAAGCCATCTCTCTCTTCAATTGTTTCAGTTTCTCAGGAATTGCTGTACAATGCTGCCAATAACGATCTCCGGGGATCTGACCCCCATTCCACCTCCCACTGCCTCCTCTGCAGCTCCAGATGCCACCAAAAGAAGGAGCTTTGAAGAAAGTGCCTGTACCCTCCTTTACCCTGAGGTGGGTGAGGCCAGGCAGGGTGATTCTCAGGATATCCTGATGATCAAAGGTATAGTTGAAGCCTTCATCAAGACGTTCTTGAAGATGACCAAGAAATTTGGGAAATGTTATCACATAGTCTAGGAACTGAAGACAGAGCTCAAGGATGGATGGCACAGATGCCTCCTGAAATGTGATACATGATGATATACACACCTTAAATAAGCTCCTAGAGGGCAGAGTTTATTAAAACACTGTTTTATAATCTCTTCCCCCACCCTGTAATATCTAGTACATATAACATAAAAATGTACTTACATGTTTATGTAAAAATATATACTTATATGTTAGTATATGTATATTTAGTCTGAGAGAGAAGACTATAAAAAGTGCTCTCAAACTCCTTTTTTCCCTGTTACTTAATTTACAGTCGCCCATTTATCAGGAATGGTGATAGAGTTCAGAAATGTCTGAAGCTTCTTGGCCACTGATGTCTTCTGTCTTGGCTATGTGTCTGGGTAGGGTATATATATCTATTCTGTAAAGTTTTCAGTGTTAATACCGAAAGTCTTCATTGATGCCTGGACTTTTATTTCTTAGGTGTTATATTACATGTAACTCATTAGTGGAAATCTTACCCTATCTGAACCATATTTGAAGGGGATTTATTGTACTGTTGGCTTTTAAAATCCCTTTGTGTCTGTTTTTAAGATTCAGTAATAAACAGTCTCACTTCTTGGATAGATCTTACATCAGTTGTCACTGTTTCAGAAGAAAGATATGTTATCATAGCTCTTGAAAAGCAAATCTTATATCTCATCTGAGCATTGCTGCCAGGAGCCTACTAAAAGAATATTTACAGTGATGTGATTAAGATACTGCTTAATTGAAAGAAAGCTTATGGTCTGCTATTTCTCTTAAAGAAAACGAAATATTAGAAACTTAGCTCTATTCATTTCTTCCATCTCTTATGTTTTCCTTCAGTGATTTAATCACTTCTTCATCAAAGAGTTAACTCTCATTTAGAGGCAGATCTTTAAAATCTTATCTTCAGGTTTAGATTTCTTGTATCTTTTGTGCCTCCAATTATATGTTAGAACTTATGATTCATAAATTTTTTAAAGATAAAAAGTGAATATTGGGCCGGGGATTTAGCTCAGTGGTTTCGCTGCCTGCTGCGCAAGTGCAAGGACCCGAGTTCGATCCCTGGTACCAAAAAAAAAAAAGTGAATATTTCATGTGCTGCTAGATTTTTTTGATTATGGTAACAATAAGATAGACAATTATTATGTATTTTCAACAGTTGGCTTTTTAGATTATAAGGAAACTAGCGTCATAACAAGTATATTTTATTCAGGAAAATAATCTTCCTGAACAATATACTTTCTCTTGAGCCAGAGATAGCTAAATATGCCACATTACTTTGTGATTTTACTAAAATTAACTAAGACTTTTTGAAAGGAAGTTAAGTTTATTTTCATGACCTTTTATGTATATAACAAAGGAACCTTATGTATACAACTTCAAAGATTTATTCTGTTTCATGAATAAATTTCTCAGTTCTTGCAGAATTTTTATAGATGAAAAGCAGTGTAAAAATTATTTTTATAAATTGGATAAAATGTGTGCATTCAAGGTCCAACTCTTCAGTTTCTTCTGTGATTCTATTAAATGAAATACTTACATAGGATCTGCTTATCTCACATTAACTGTTCCTAATTAATTGTAATAAGTTCTATTTGTGGGTTTATATGAATTTTAATACAGTCATAAAATCAGGAATGGCTTTGATTAGAACATTGCTAGTTGGGCCGGGGATTTAGCTCAGTGGTTCCAGCGCCTGCCTTGCAAGCGCAAGGTCCCAAGTTCGATCCCTGGTACAAAAAAAACAAAAAAAACCCCACAAAAAAACAAATGAACATTGCTAGTTATTTCATAAATATTTTTAATAATGCTTCATAATGGTGATACATAAAAACTAAATTCTATACATTGTTCATTATTCCACTAAAACTAGCTTTCCCTCTGCTAATGCATGTAAAGAATTTTATATACAGGAGAAATTATATGACACCTGGGAAATTCTGTTGGCAACATCTAGTGTGGTTTGTCCTCCACTTGCTTTCCTGTTGTCAGCTTTTACAAGTTATATTATTACAGGGAATGGCAGTGGTAGCAACTAAAATATACAATTCTGACACAGAATGGTTTGATACTGTTAGACATGAATTTTCCTATGATTTTTATCTTTTCAGGTTCCCAGTCAACCTCAGATAAACCTTCCCAGCGACCATCAGAGAGCACAAACTGTAGCCCTACCCGGAAGAGGTCTTCATCTGAGAGCACTTCTTCAACAGGCTAGTGCTGTTTGTTTTACCACATTTTCAACATAGTTTCCTGTTAATTGTAATGACTCATGAAAACAAAAATGAGAGCCCAGTGGTGCTGTGCCTCCCTGGCAAGTGCAAGGTCCTGACTTTGATTCAAAACATACGTGCAATCCCAGCACACTAGGGGTTGAAGCAGTTTAATGACTTTCAAGACCCTATCCGGGAAGGAGGGCAAGTTGATGGGAGTAGGAATGTAATTGAGTACAAAGGTTCCCCAGGACCATGGAAGGAGAAGGAGTGAGGGAGATTTTGATATGTGAGAATCAGTAATAGTGTACACTCAAACAATATAGCATTCTCCTTACAAAGGTAAATTGAGGTTAAAGAGTGTATTTTATCATAGGGAATTGTGAATTATTGGGAATTGTGAAGCTATTTAATACATCTTTAGATGTATGTAAAATTCTTTAGTAAAGTAATAATAATTTCCAAAATAGCAATCACAGATCTCTGAGGATATGCAAAATAATTATGATGCCATGAGAAGAACCTCTATTAAAACTTAATTTTAATTTCAACTTTTCAGTTTCTTTCCATATTTGTATATTTCAGAATATATAAAGCCAGGCATAGTGGCACATGCCTGGAATCCCAGCACTTGGGAGGCTGAGGATAGAGGATCACTGTGGGTTTGAGACCAGCCTGGGTTATGAAGTGAGTTCAAGTCTAGCCTGAACTACAAAGCGAGACCCTGCCTCAATCAATCAACAAACTGACTGATAAACTATACCATATTTGTGTAATTTATCCAAAGATTTAGAGCTGAGGTGTAGTTCAGTGGTAGAGTATTCGGTTCAATCCCCAGTGCCAAAAAACAACCAAGTGTGATGTTATGTGTCTGTGCCCCCAGCACTTGGGAGGCTAAGGCAGGAAGATTAGAAGTTCAGGGCCAGTCTGGGTAACAGAAATCAACAATGGCAGCCTGGACTATGTATGGTGACCCTGTCTCAACAAATAAAAGATATATACATTTTTTCCTTTTTTTTTTCTCCTATCTTTTCTGCCTTTACTGAGATTTTAGAGTAAGAAATAATTTTAAATGTATTAATGGTATCAGGAGAGAGGAGGTTCATTTCAGGCAGTGAGGGTAATATATGTAAAGCAGAGAACAGTGACTTCAAGAAAAAAAATAAAAGGAACCAGTATGTCTAGAATAAGAACAGGTGTTTTTTGGTACCGGGGATCGAACTCAGGACCTTCTGCTTGTGAGGCCAGCGCCAGAACCACTGAGCTAAATCCTCGGCCAGAATAAGAACAGTTTTTGAGTGTGAGGCTGCAAAGATTAGTAGGAACATTAGTGATAATGAACTTTAAATAGTGAAAAGTCATAGAAAGTTTTTAAACAACAAAGTGACATATTCTTAGTTTTCTGTGTTTGGTTAGTAGACCACTTATGACTTACAGTGAGAATACCTAATTTTTTCATCAGTGCAAGACCTCAGTGTCAAACTGTTTCAGCATACTATTTGTTGAATTCATTTCGTGGTTAGCCTCAACATTCCAGAAACTCTTCATATTGCCAGAGGTATAGAGGAATTTAAACAGTAGCAATGCTTTCAACTCTTTAACAATAATGAATTTTAATGATTCATATATAGTCTACCTGGACTAGGATTAAAAATAGTCAATTTGCAGGGCCAAATGCAATCCAACCTCCAACTCCCCCCCCACCCCCCCGCCCCGCCCTCAAATTAGGAGTTTGTTTTTTTTACATTGTTAAAGGTCTGTTTAAGAAAAGGAAGAATAGCAGGGTGTAGTGGTGCACACCTATAATCTCAGCACTGGGGAGGCTGAGGCAGGAGGATTGCTGCGAGTTCCAGGCCTGCCTGCACTGCATAGGGAGACCCTATCTGAATGAATAAATAAATGGAAAAAACAGGGGTTGTATGTGTCCTTAAAAGCCTAAGAGATTTATCATACAGCATTTTATGAAAATATTCAGCTGTCCCAGAACAAAGAATGAGATTTTGGTAACAGGCATATCAGTGAAGTCACCAAAATAATTTAGTGGCCAAAAGAAACTATCTAAACCCATATTTTTTCTAACCATGAGGCCATTTTATTCATTGAATCAGACATTTATTGTGAGTTACTATGAGTATTGAGCACTAGGATTCAAAACATTAATAATATAAGGTTGTTGCTCTTGGGGATTCAAACATACTCACCTGCAAAGAATGCATTAAATTTTGTAACAGAGTAATGTACAGATGCTATGACACACATATACTGTATCTACTTGGGATGACTAAGAAGCCATCACAAAGTAGTGACACATTATATACTACTATATATTAAATTAAGTAGACAAAATTGGGCAACATCAAGGGTAAGAATGTATTTACACAGTGACAACAGCACCTCCAAATAAAGTCACAAAACCATAAAATAGATGTTCTTGGAAAATTATATATCGTTGTACCCAAAGGATAATATGTGATAGTGGTGTTTGGAAATGAGGCTATAAAAGAAGTAATAATGGACTGTATCACATAGACATTTGCTTTTCCATTCAAAAGAGTCAACTTTACTGTAATTATTAGAATTAGGCTCTTAGGAAGCATTTTTTAACAAGAAAGATAAATGTTTAGTGTGTTAACATCAGTGGAAATTGTCTAGGATTTACAGTTTTAAGAAATGATCCTCAAACCCCAGTGGCTAAAAACAGAAAGACTTACTGTATTTTCATGGTCTGTAACCATCAAGAGTCTGTGCCATGTTGTCTTTCCTCCGGCCCCTGGATGACAGACCAGTATCAGTGCCAAACGAAAGGGCCATGCTATAGTATTCACTGGCTCTTCTCATATTTTAGTGCCAAAGCAAGTAAAGTTCATCAGTAGGGTCAGGAAAGTGTAAACCTTTGAAGGGAGGGCAGCAAATATTTATGAATATTAACACATCTGACACATATGCAGGTTAGAAAAATGCTACAGTATAGTGGGAAGAACGGAGTTTGACAGAAGAAATGGATGAAAATAGCAGATATATCACTGGAGGGTAGAGTGGTAGAGTGCTTGGCCAGCATGTGCAAGGTGTTGAATTCAAACCCATTACCAACAAAAGAAGGGAACGGACAAAAGAAGAAAGGAAGGAAGGAGACAGACGGTGGTTAATGACTTCAGATTTTACTATTACATTTAAATTATAATTGAGCTGTTGAGGTAGAGATGTTGAACATACAATTAGAAGTAGTGGTGTGTAGTTTCAGAGGTAATCTGTGATAGTGGTACAAATTTAGCTGCATGTATATAAACTTGAAAGTGGCAGTAAATGAGATTGCCCAAGAAGGATGTTTAAAATGAGAAGATGATAGGCTAGAGACCTAAGAAACAGCATTTTCGAGGTAACTGGAAAAAAGATGTCAGTAAATGAGACAGAAATATGAAAAAATCAAATAATACATGTTGCAGAAACCTAAAAAGGGGCCAGACATAGTGGCACACACCTGTAATCCCAGCACTCAGGAGGCTGAGGCAGAAGGATTGCCAAGAGTTTGAGGCTAACCTGGGCTACATAATGAGTTCAAGGTCAGCCTGAACTACATAGCGAGACCCTGGCTCAAAAAAAGAAAAAGAAACCTCAAAAAGGGGCGGCTAAAGAGTAGAAAAGTAGTGTCACTAAGTCAAATATTTAAACAAAATGTGTTCAGTAATTGACAAAATAAAAACAGACTAGAGGGGGCTGGGAATTTAGCTCAGTGGTTCCACCACCTGCCTTGCAAGCGCAACGACCCAAATTTGATCCCCGCTCCCAAAATAAAAATAAAAACAGACTGGTGCTGTGGAGTAAGAAGTTTGTCAGCTTGAAAGGGATAAGTGAACTGTTCAAATTCTGGTGGTGCTAGAATAAATTAGAGCTCTTTTTGTACTATGGTAGATTAGATGTGCAGAATAAACACTTTAGTACCTAAAACCTAATATAAATGAAATATGGAAAACATTTCTTATAACATGACTGAACTTTTACATAAGCAAATTGGAAACCAGAAATTTTTGTAACATTGATTCAGAGTTATGGAACATTAGAATTGCTCTTGTATCTGCTTGCTTGATTCACTGGGACACATCCAGGTATAAGAGATGAAGGACAAAGCCTAAGACTCTATAGGGATAGAAAATCACATTAGATTTTCATGCAAGAAGCTGGAATCCCCAGAGGTGACGCTTATCAGTAAAAGCAAATAGAAATAAAGCTATCTGTGTTTTTGGAAGGAAAAGGAAAAAGAGTTCCTGACTACAAGTCCATACTAATTAATGTTCTGTCTTTCCTACGGAGTTATATTCTGTCAGATTTAGAAAAAAAAAAATTATAGTTCATCATTGGTTGGTAATGGGCCAATTACATTGCAGAGCCGATGCAAATAGTCTAGAGAATTTTAATTAATATAAACCTAAGCTTTTTTGATCAATATATCCTCAGTCTTGGTTAAGTTAGCCTTGTGATACATTTTACCAGCACAGAGAATGACAGCCTTTATTTTGCAGGTTAAAGGCAGATAACTAGAACGATGTCTTAACCTTCTAGGTATATTCAAAGGAATAAAAACAAAATTTCTAGAAATACATACTCTATTTAGTAAACTAAGGTTTAATCTTAGTTTAACCAGTGTAGAAGCAAAAAGTAGTTCTCATTTTTTAATAAGATGCCTCATGACATATCCTTGAACTGATTTCTCTGTGCTGAAATAAATCCAGAAGGACCATATACTAAGAGTGTATAACTTTACTAATAGCCACAGTCATTGTTATCATGCTAAGCATGTGTGGTATCGTTGATGAGTAAAATCTAAGTCTTTTCCAGAAGTGTTAAGTACCATATTAAGTCTTTTAAGTCTTGACATGCAGATGAAATGAATATATTCAGGTGATCTTTGTTAGTGCTTGCTTCTGTCACAGTAGTAGGAGGGCATGATGGTGCATGCCTGTAATCTCAGCACTTGGGAGGCTGAGGAGGATTGCAAGGGCAGC